ATTTTATTTCAAGATAATTAGGCTGAGAATCATTACAAAATATTCTCGACTGCTGTCTGGATTATGTGAAGTCAGTTATTACACGAGTTTATGCATCTCTTTAGTATGCAGAAAACATTGTGAACATTACAGTATTAAAAAGTAAGCTTTTCCCTTTTATGCTTAATGTATTTTTTGACCTTCTTAATGACACCAACATACCAGCGTCTCTGAAAAAGAAGAAAAGGAAAGCTATTACTTTGGTGCTCTGCACCTTTATATATGTTATTATGTTTTCTTTAATTATTGAAAATGTACAGATTAATGCATTATATGAATCCATTATACTAAGTCAGTTTTGCTAACCAGGATGTACTTGTCTCTACATGGGACTTCATCTATAATAGGATGGGTGGTAGACACTGAAGTTCCTGCCACAATCACTATCAATACTGCCCCTTACTAACCTCCGGACACAAAGAAATCACACCAGCTTAGTAACACCTACTTCTGTGAGGCAATCATTCAATCCTAAAGATTGTAAACTGCATAGAGTTCAGAGCAGTTCTGAGATATGAGCCATCTGGTTCAGACAGAAGCACTCCACCTCTACTCAGCTGTCATTCCTCCCTATGTCTGAATTATTTTGATAAAACTCCTATCTCTTCTACTTCAAGAGAAAATGTGTCTATTATAAAATTGGATCAGTCATATAGTCATATCAATGTATCAATTTGCAGTCTGGTAACAAACGATTATGACTTGTTTCTTTATTTTTAAGGTTACAATAGTTTCTAAAATAAAATTGTCTTATTAACTGATAAGTCCCTTAACCATGCTTGATCTCACTTCAGTTTTCCAATGTTAACCTTTTGACTCCTTTGCCAATGAGGCCCTGACTCAGGTTTGGCTAGTGAATTCACATGAAATTTCACTATTTATTGCTTACTGCAGATATTAACCCATTGGAAATAAATAGTTTAATACCTTTATCAAAATAACAGACAAAGAAATGAATTAAGCACCATGATTTTTGAAGAACTCAATTTCAATTATTGATGTGCGTGTCCACATGCTATGTACTAGCAAGCTATTTGGTCATGCGTTAATCACAGTCAATCCAGTTCTCATCAAATACTGCACAAATGTGCATGTTCCGACAGTACTCACTGGATAATGATCAAGTACAGGAATCCAGACTGATTTTATTCTCCTTTGTCATCTACCTAGCTGAGAACTCTATCGTTTCAATTTCCTGCAACACTGAACAGTGGCCACCATCTGTTCTGCTTCTAACTGCTAGGTGGCAGTGCCAAGCTGCATGAGTAAAAGGAAACTCAGAAATGCAGCTACAGCCTGTAACACTTGCTTCAGCAAATAAAATAGGATATAATGCTAACTTTTAAAAAGATTACTCCTCCCTATGCATTACTACCAACACAATTTAAAAAGGCAATGTTATTAAAATGGGCTGGACATAAATTAAAATCCACAAGCCATGGTCGAAAACATAGTATTTGATGTCACTGAGAATCTATGTGAAAAGAAGGAATGACAATAAAAATCATTTGTTTCAGAAAACAGAATAACATTTTCATTGGAACAACATGAGGCACAACATGCTGTTGAATGGCAGGTCTGATATTTGGGGCAGCACCCAGTACTTTTTTGAAAGTTTGGAGGGAAGACAGGAAGATGTTGGTTTTCAACTAAATACGGAGTGCCACATGCTAAATTCTGGTACCCAGTTGCCTGGGATGTTGATAAAACATGGAACGTGAAATGATTTTTCATTCCACCAAGTCCACTTCCAAGTAGCACTGCAGGATCATGGGATTACAAGGAGTAGGGACAAGAATAGCAATGCATCCATTTACTGTGGGCAACTTATGTTCAGTGTGATTTAACAGAATTTATACAGATGCTTGGAGTGTGGATAAACATTGACACTTGTACATTTTCTGGGAGAAAACTTTACACAAATGTATAAACTAAACAGAAATGTTCATCTGAAAGGCATACCTACCTCTGACACCCTCTCCTACGTCACTGTAGCTGTCATATTGTGTGAAATCTGTGGACTGTGGCTAACAGGACAAAAGGAAAGCGGAGACAATTTTTAAAAGTCTTGACAGATAATTGTATTCTACCAGCTATTGTAGATTGATTATTGCATCACCAAGCTCTACTATAAAGACATACAATGATAATGCAAAGAAAGCTGTCAGACTTAAGTCCTTATATTCCTTTTGACTGACTACATTTATGATTAGGAAGTAAAAGATAGTAATAGACACCATGGTGGAGCATGAGATCTCAACACTCATATTTTTGCATGGTATTTGTGGCAGTTTTGCAAAAATGCTTTGGAACATGATCAAAACCGCTGGAACTATGGAAATAGGGAGAGGAGAAGGGATTAGCTAGATCAATCAGTGTAACTGAACAGACGAACCATGTCCATCCATTATTAGGAAGCTCCAACAGAACATTTAATAGCAAAGGGGAAGCTGCACCCAACCCCACTCTAACTGGAGGGAACGGCAAGTGTGGAGGACCTTGGTGTAAGAGTCAATATTCTGTGATGAAGTCAAATTATGGCACACAACTGTTGAAAAAAAAACCTACAAACTGCCTTAAGACCTGCTGTGTCTGATGAACTTATGCCAGAAATTCAAAAACAGTGAAAGAGAAAGATTGCACTACATAGCAGCAGATGCTTGTTAAATAAATATACTAGGCAAGCACACTTACACCAAGTTCCTACTAGAGATCATGCTAGTGCTAAAACAGTGTCTCCAGAAACAACCTTTGATCAGTTAGTGATTTATTTTGGATGGCAGCTTAATTAAACATATACCTAGTGCACTCTTATCAGCTTTATGTACAAGTTCAATAGACTCTATGGGAGTGGGAAACAAAAAATCAGGATTCGTTTCGGTCTCAAATGTGCTCCTGCAGGGAAATGCTCATTAGGATTTTCAGAGAGGTTTCCCCTTAATTGGCATGATGACAATTTCCCAAATATCCAATTAACAAATGTAAGCGAATTCTCAAGGCTGAAGGGCCAATCAGAGGCTTCCCAACTTGAGTATTGCAGCAGTAGCCTTTCAAAGATGGTAATGAGCAGAGAGAGAGGGTGCAGACTTTAATGTAGTTGACAGGGGACCTAGTCTCCGGCTGGAGAATTAATGACAGCCCTGTGCCATCATTTCAGGGAGGCCTGCTGTATTCAATGCCAATCAGACACTTAACTGAGCAGCGGCAGGTACCCAAGATCAAAGGTGTTACAAACAGGAAGGGGTATTTCACTCCCATTCAGAGCTGTTGTCCTCTTCAATGCATACCATAACCACTGGGGAGATGGTGACTGTTAGAACTGCTGCACCCACCTGAAGCCCAGGATCAAGGAAAGACCCAGACAGGTAAAATAACCATCTCAGATTTTACAGGACCATCCTATATTTGAGGCCTGTGTCCGAGAAGGTAAAGATCTTGGAATCCCAGAGGGTAGTGATCTTGGGATAAGGAGTGCTTCCGATGAGCACATGGGACCTGTAAAGGAGCCCCCAAATACCCGTGCCCAATAAATATTCACACAGCTAAAAGCTACAGGGCTGCCCTTGTGGGGCTAACTCCCCTGAACTGCAATAAAGTGTGGTTTGGGCAGGATGGAGGCTCTTAAGTGGACATTAATTGAATTTATTTAATTAGAAGTCCATTTACTTTCCTGAATGCATAGGAAATGCTTTTCCTCTTAATTCACCCATTGTTGTGGTTCCTCGGAGTGAGGCTACTAATTAATATCAAAATAGGGAAGCTTGATATATTGGGATTGAGTCTATAAATTCCCCCAGCATCTTCACTGGAAGAAGATTTCCATTCTATTGGGCTGTGCTGCTTTCAAACCCAGGTACCAGAGCCGATAGGATAGTCGGTTAATTAACTACACCAGTAATTTATCTTTAGTCTGATTTTTTAGCAGTTAAAGTAAAGAATTACTTTGATAAAAGTGAGAAAGCAAGTCATTGGCTCTAATGCATTAACTTCAAAATTACAGTAATCCCATCAGTATTCTAATACTAACTAAGTAGTTCACTCCACTGCATACATTGGGCAATACAGAAAATGCTCAATGATTTTAGTATGGGGGTTGGTTGCGATAAAGGCAGTCATTTCTTTTCAACACTCATTACTATGTTTCAGGAATACTTTGGCATGTGGGCACTGAAAATGCGTTTTCTGTAACTTTGCTACACCACCACTTTCATCGCCATCTAATTACATTATAAATTGTGACTGACATACATCATAACTTATCGCTAATGATTCCAAACTGGTGGGTATGCACGTACCAGAGTTAGGGTTTAAAGTTTTATAGGTAAAGGAAATGAATTAGTAAAAAGCAAGGAATACCAGCTAATATCACTTACTATTTACAGAGTGTGATACGTGAGAATCGTGCCTTACCCTATGTAGCCCATTTCTTCCATAACCAGGAAGGGAAGATGTTTTGGAGGCAGAAGCATGCAGGGCTGAGAGGAGAAAGGTAAAAGTTACATTAGATCCTAAGAAGTCAACGTAAGTTAGCAAAAATAATACAACTTAAGATAATACTCTAATTACAGGCTTCAAGCGTCAAACCAAAGTGTTCAACGATTGCATCATTTCAAACTGTGAAATGACCATGCAACCTGAAGCACTTTGATCATAAGCTTTTTGGTATATTTGAGGATAACTGTAATATCTTGAGAGCAGTATTTCAGCTTCCAAGTAATGAGAATGGACAAATAGATATGGATATGTTTTAAAATTAAATAATGCTATCAGAGAAAAACAGAAATGTCACGTTTTAAATGTACACTGAGTGCAAGGATGAAATGTCTTTCAGAATCAAGTACTTGATGATTCAGATAAGGATGGAAGGCAACACAGGTAGCTCTTCCTGAGTGAGTTGCAGACGTAGATGATCCTCCAAATCTTTATTTTCCTTTCTTCTTTGCCCTTTATGTCAGCCTTTTCCGTTCTCAAGTTCCCACCCAACTCTTTCGTTTACGCTCACCTCACCACTTTACGTCCTGAGCCCCAGGTTTTCAGTTAGTTGTGTCAAATATTGTTGTGCTCTGTCTACCCATCAAAGTCAGGCTGGTGGTGACCTTCAATGACAGCCCTCCTGTGGTACTCCTCGTCCTCCACTGCATCTCCCACTCTTATATGTTGAGTTGCCCTTCTGTCACAATTATTACCCCCCTACCCCTGCATCTCAGCATGCTGCCTCCGATTCCCACAGCTGACTTCCCAGTTTCCCTATTACATCAGTGGCCCCTGATAATTTACTTTGACTTTCAGTGAGCAGACCTGCTGGACTGATTGGAATCCAAATCTCCTGCCTGACATGGAAGGACGGCCTTGGCTGATCAGTGTCCAGACCCCTGACTGATAGCTCTGCAGCTCCCTTACTAAACTAATGGTAATGTAACCTAACTGGTTGCACTTGACCTGCAGCACTGATTATAGCCCACTCCCCAGACTGTAAGGATACAGACTCTCTGACCCTGATCACTCTAAATGGCTGACTGACTCTGTCTAAGCTCTTAGATTAAGAACAGACAATGCCCTTGGCTGACTGAGAGGTGTAAACATTAGGTATTAAAGGATTCTGCACAATTTTTCTCTCCTGGAAGGTGGCAAGGAAGGCAAGTCCGCAAGATATTCACCTCCTTCTTACCCATCACTAAGTGCTGGATGAGAAGGCATTGAGTCTTCCCTTGCACATCAGCAGTCAAGGCTCTCAAATGGAGTCTTCTCTGACATTTATGAGCCTCGATCTTCCAACTTGCCATTTCCCCAATTATCTGTCTTTCCAAAAGGAATGAAAATTAGCTAGTTTCCTGACTGGGTATACAGAGTGAACTGCCTGCAATGATGGGAGGTGATCTCCATTTGCCCCAGTCTAGGGAAAATAGTCAGCACAGAAGCCAATGAAAGCCACCTCCCCTCACCTTGTCTTCAATCCCTCTGACCCCTCCCTCCAATGACCCTTCCAACCATGAGGAAAAAAGAAAAAGACTTACTTTTGTTGGGTGTTGGATCCCCTGAAGAGTATGACTCAACCAGCAATCTTAAGGACCCAGAAGCTGCTGACCTCTGGCCGGCACTTTCTGGTAAGTCGAGACCCTACCATTATGGTTTGCAATTACCGAGATACTTACCAAATTTTCTTGGCAAAGTGTGTAGTGAGTCAGTCAACACCTAAAATGCCTGCACCCACACTTAGTCCGAGACAAGCAAACTCTTGGTTTCTATTTCTTACTACCACTGTCTTTTTTCCCATGCTGCTGCTGTTTATTTTCCATGAGGGTACATTATATATGAATAAAACCTAAAAGCAAAATTAACGTTAAGTTGTTATTTTATTGTTGCTTTAGAAATAAAAATATACTCCTTGGCTCTGTGAAAAAGTGAGCAGCATGCATTTTGAGTGTGACAGTAATATTGACTGTCATTATATCTGGAATGACAAGCTTCAAACATTAAACCAAATTATTTGAAACTGTCAAAAAGGGAACATAACCTGCTGCACTTTGTTTGCTTTGTTAATCCATGGCTTTTCATTATAATTAGAGGTTGGTGTGCAGTTATGCTGGATAAAGTCTTTTACCAGATCTTAGTGGGTGACAGAAGGATCACTCGCTGCTACAACACTTCTCATAAGATTTATAATCAGTAGTACTTTTGAAAATGGTAACATGGAATAATAATATTTGGAAAAAATAATGGTGATGTTATGACTGGTACTACATTAGATACTCTCCGCCTTAGGGCAGCTTTAGATGATACTGTGAACATTAACAGACACTAAAAGAACAAGTTGATAGCTCATGCTAAGTGGAAGTTTGAGCAACTGCCTTCTGTCCTATTTTTTCAGGCCTTCTTTCCCCTTCACTTACTAATCTACTGTCAAAAGGGTGCATAGATAACCTGCTCCAAACACTCCTGTCAGAGCTAATGTTGCAGAGCTTGACATGGTGTGATTCACTCTCTCTTTCAACATCTCACGCCACCAAAGTTGATACACCCTTTATGCACCTTCACTGACTAAATCATGACATCCACATCCTCTACCTCACCCCTTGTCCTCCTCCATCCCCTAGAATTCCAAATCCATCTCTGAGCAGAAAGCCTGATTTAACTCAGGGCAGCATCTTCCTTCTTCTGTGTCAGACCCCAACAGTAGCCACTACTTGTTCCTGGCATTGCTGGGACTGCAAGAGCTGCCAGCTAATCTGATCCACTAGCAGGTCTTCAGGGTGTTCATTCCTGTCTCTGAGGGTTGGTAGTCCCACTCTCAGGTCATTAACGCTTCTCCCAGTACAGGCCGCTGACTTACTTCTTGAATGGGGTGGAGCAAGGAATATGGCCCCAGTAGAATTCATTCCTTGCTGTCTCATCTTGATAGACTGAGATGGATCATCATCTGTATGAAAATAGCATAATGCCTATCTACACAGGAGTTTATTTTTTAAAATGAAACTAATATTATTCAGTTGTGGCTCACTAAGAAGATGACATTTTAATCCCATTATTGCCTTCTGCAATCTCTTTAATAAAATCAACATTTAATAGCATCAGAGTGGCTAATCAGAATGTCCCAATGATTCACCTATTTCTGATGCACTGAATATCTAATTAAAAATATTCCAGCAATATTGATTATCAGCATGCACTTTACATCAACCAAATTGCATGGAGCTACTTAAATCATAGATATTATTAAACATTGATGTAAAGAAATTGCAATTTGGCAAACATAAGGTTTTCCAATTATAAAAATGTCCATTTCTAATCAGCAAACCACAGCAGAATATTGTTAGCTCCATCTTAGAAAACATGATGCTCTCAGGCAACTTCGTAATATGATGAAGCTCAACTGAAATGGCATAAACAAAAACTAGTAAGTGCACCTGTGCAATGGCCCATACCAAAGAATTAAGAATTGATAAAGAAGCCATTCATCTCACACATTTAATGAAAGATTTATATTCTTACATGCATTCCCTGCTGAATCATAACGATGTCTGAACTGGATGTCGGCATGGAGAGTTTGAGAGGCTAATCGGGCTTGCTTCTCCTGTTCCAAATCTTCCTTCAGGATAAGCTTCCCAAGGCCTGACTGGATCTGGTCAATTACAAAATATAATTCCAAAAATAAACAAACCAGAATTTCTGAACAGCATGCAGCTTCAGTTAGGAGGAGTTATTTTGCCGAGTTTAGCTAAACATTGCCTGGTTTTTCCCTGTGGACTATGTCCCTTTTTGAACGTAATTTACTTTGAACTGCTTCAAAAGCAAGAGTACAAACAGAAGCAGTGGTACGTTTTGGGCAGGAATACAAGACAAACAATTCTATTTTGATGAAGAATTCATTTCCTTTACATTAACCCAAGCAATGCTGAAGGAGAATATTAGCAACCGTCGATGGCAGCCTGTGTAAAGTGACCTGCCTTGTTAGATTCTCAGTTATATTGGGGGAATTCTTAAATTTCTTAAATCCTTAAATTGAAAGGAAGCAACACAAAAAACTTTGCATTTACTTATGACCTTGCATCCGTCACAACCTCAGGATATCCTGAAGCACTTTACAGACAAATAATTACATTTGAAATGTAACAATTGCCATAATGTAGGAACGGTGATAACCAATTTGCTAACAAGGTCCCACAAACAGCAATGCAACAAATAACCAAATCATCAATTTTAGTTATTGGCTGAAGATAGATGATGACCAATGCACCTGGAGAACTCATCCATTCATCTTTGAACAGTGCCATTGGATCTTTAACCTCCCCCTGAGAGGACTGGCAGCACTTTCAGAAGTACTGAGGTTTACTAGTACAGTTGCTTTAAAGGTATCACAAAGGTGGTGCAAAAATATTGAACGAAACAAAAGGAAGGGGGCAATGGTATTAACAGCAGATTGTTTATCAAAAAAATAGATAAGCTAAAAAAGTGCACAAATACACAAATTGGAAAATATCTTTGAACCAGGATTATTGGGCAGTATCTGACAAATGAAAAGTTGGCTGAATGTCTCAGCGTCCCTTTTATATCAGCCTAATACCAAGGGCTAGACACACAAACAAGCACAAACTGATTACTAATACTTAACCAGTCACAAAGATCAGAATGATTCTTATAGACCATCACTGGCTGTTACTTTAACCTCAAAGTTATGAATGGTAAAATTAGAGCCTAAAAATGCCAATCCTTTAACTGTACATTCTAACTGCTCCGAGATGCCGCAGGTCAGTCATACTTTGCTGAGCTGCTCCTCCTGGAGTTGTCGACGTCTGAGTTTTTCCTCATCCTCATCTTCTCGTTCACTCCCCCGCCTCCTGTCTGCTCCTGGTAGTGACAAAATACAACTTCTGAAAATTGTGACAATGTGCATTGGCAGGGGTATACATGGCTTGCATAGCTTTAAAACAAACAGGGAAGAAGCTTACAGTCAATCAGCTTGATGGCCCAGCCCCAACTGAGAGGGATTTGTGGATTGGATTTTAGACAGGAATGAGTACACGGGATTTTAATAACTTTTTCTCCTTAAGAGATTTATGGGCAATGTGATTTTTGTCTGATACATTAATCAGGCAATTTGCTGAGCAATATGGCCATATCATCCAATCACAACTATATCCATGAAAGGCCCAATCCAACTTGGCAGTTGGATCTCATGAGCAAAATGTGTGAAATAGGCTCTCAGAGGCAGCAAGTGAGTTAGGCTGGACATAAAGAAGGTGAACACACAGAGTCTGCCAACAGGCCACAATACTTTTGAAGAACCAGAGGAGCAGGAATCTTCCTGTTGGTGTTGTAACAGCAACAAGAAAATAAAACAATTCAGCCGATCTTTGCAACGGTGGTCCCTTTAAGGATCCCTGGTTAGGCTGCTCGATGCCAAGGACAAATGAACAGGTTATGTGTAGGCATGTACGGCATTTAACCCATGAAGGCTGGATCAAAGTCCTATATTGGGAGTAGAACCACATTTGAGATTAGCACATTCTCCTGTCTGATCCAGGTGAGAGCGTCAGCTGCCCAATCAATTACATTGTGCTCACCTTGGCCAACCAATGGGTTATAACATGCTTGGTAACTGCCCATTTTCCAGCATAAGTAGCGCAGAGAATCACACATGCAATGATCATAATTTATGACAGAATGCCCTTTACGATCAAAAATGCACTAAATCTAAACATACCTGGAACATCTTGGGTTCTCCTTACTTCTTCAGGGCTTCAAAGTTGGGTGCAAAAGTAAACAGGAATCTTACCCTCACCAAAAAAACACACCTCAATGCGCTATTTAATGCTGTTAGAGTAACGGCCAAGGGATTCGTAAGGAATTTGCAATGAACTCAACATGACATCTTTCACTGTGTTGAATTAGTGCTGCTGCACAGGTCTGTCAGGATGAGTCAAATACAAACTTCTGAGGTGTGTAAAGTAGCAGTGAAAAGCAATGCTGGTGCCCATTGAGAAAATGGTTTGTTAGTCAAGGTAGTGAAAAGGTGAAAAAAAATTGTTCAGTTCCAAAACTTAGAATCTGAAACAGTTCAAAAATTTAGAGAAAGGCTGCGTGGCAGAAAACTATCCTTTCCCTGACATTATTTCGCTGCACAAATCTTAGCTAAAGTCTAAAATAGAAATATTTTAGCCTGTACTAGAGGCTCAGCAAAGAGTTTGAGCCAAGATGAAATATGGCTTGTGTTTTATTAAAACTTCAGCAGTTTCTCTTTCCAAACATATTAATCAGTTGGAGAGACATTGCTATTGTATATTATGAAGGAAATCAGTGGTTTGAAGGAAGTTTGGAAGACCTGTTCAAGCCTTCCCCACCCTACCCCCAAAAAAGAAAATAAAGTGCATTTATGCATGAAATATTATATTAGCTCACATTACTGGTACCAGATGGACTCACAGTGATGGTGTTGTATGGAAATAATGAACCAGATTGCTGAAGACACGTGGGGAAAATATCCTTTGCAAACAGTATGTATTCTGGCAGACCAATTTCAGAGATATTAACTAAAGTTCCAGAATATGTAAATCCATCCACAAAGCACAGTATTAATAACTGAAACTTTCTACGTTGGTAACTAGAAAACTGGAATACTTCTGAGAGAGCTGTTTGAGACAGCATGCCTGATATGACTTCCGATAAATTTTACCGAGGAAGAAGAAACACCTAAAGGACACGAGAGGAAGAGAAGCTGGCCCTAAAACATATAACTCAAGGGACATTGTTTACATAAAGGAATATCTTCAAAACATCTTGTTTTGTCATAATTGCAGTGATCAACAGGACAGAAGAACATCATGTCATTTTCAACATGATATTAAATGAAAATGAATCATTCCAATGTCAGTTAGGTCCTTGCACTATTCATATATAAATGGAAAACAGAAGATTTTCTGAAGAAGGGTCCCGACCCAAAACGTCAACTTTCCTGCTCCTCTGATGCTGCTTGGCCTGCTGTGTTCCTCCAACTCCATACTGTGTTGTCTCTGACTCCAACATCTGCAGTTCTTGCTATCTCTGAGGTCTATCACAAGTTATTTTTTGAAGAGAACACTCCTTCATTGCAGTAATTTAAAGGAAGGATTGAACAGCAAGAATACATCCTGCAGTGCTTACAGATCTCAGTAACGTACTTTCCAGAAGGTAAAAACTGAAAGAACTGCCGATGCTGTGAATCAGGAACAAAAGCAAAGTTGCTGGAAAAGCTCAGCAGGTCTCGGCAGCATCTGTGAAGAAAAAAAAGAGTCAACGTTTTGGGTCCGGTGACCCTTCCTCAGATCTTTTTTAATAAAAGCACTGCTTGCATGCCTTTGGCATATGGTTCCAGCAAAACTATAGCAGATGAAATGTTGGTTGTCATCTCGAGCAAAATAAGTTTGCGTTTGAAGGCTGCTTGAGATTTGACCTCTGACCTCACATGCTTAATGGGAAAACAGATAGCACTTTGCCAATGGAGTAACAAAGGAGGACATGCTGCCAGTCCCTACCAGGATTCAGCTACCAGGATAATTAACAGTACCATTTTTCATGAAGAACACTTCTGGCTATTTCTTGGGATGGACATCAATTTCAGCCAGTCAGTTACAATGAAAGCCACTAAAATAAGAACTTGCTCCATTGTGGAGTTCATCTTCGATCTGCAAAGCATGACTTCATGACATATCACAATGTATCAATGAAAATGTTGGTTGCAACAAAAAAAAACTGCTTGTCAGTCATCTGAATTGAGATTTAGATTTTTTTAAATTCAAAACGTACATTTCAAAAGAATTATTAGCATCAACTAAAACATATTAGAAATTTTAAACATTTAATATTTTAGTTTTGGCAAGGTTGTCCTGACAAACTTATTATGACAATATTATATTGTATTATGACCTGGGAAGGCAATGTTTTAAAATGTAATTAATGAACAACAAGGCCCATTTATCAGGCTTTTATCATACCTATGGTACCTGAACCTGGCCAGTAGTCAGTCTCCACCTCAGAAGTTTGATCGGGATCTGGAGCCTGGGCAGCTGGGAACTTGGATGACTTGATGATCTCCACGCCTGTCTTGAGTTGTGCTGCCATTGCAGCTGCATCTAGAGTGGCAACCAGTGGGAACTCGGCATGTGTTACTCTGTCTGAAATAGACTGGGGTTTCCTACTAGCCTGCTGTAGGCTTTCAGCACCCTCCGCTAATCAGTACGGTATTAGTGAAATCTCGTCATCACTGATAAAAATCATATTCATCTGACATAAAGTAAACATATCCTGTTTAGCAACTAAATAATCATATTTAATATTTTATAATGGGTTAGTCGTAACAGAAAACATAACAAGTAATTATAGAATGAATAGACCTAACATTGTAGGTCTCAGCTTTCAGTGCATATGTGGCTTATGTTAGATTTAGAAGAAATTCCTAACACACTTGTCTGTAAACCTCAATATTCACCATAGTTAGCATAATTTAAATACATTAAAAACTAATTAGAATTAGTTATTAATTTTATATGTCAGAGTGTAGAATTTTTAAAAATATTTACATAAAAATTACTTAGAGCTCAATAATGATGACTTTAAGATGTTGGCTGGTGTGAAGGTAACTTTTATTTCAGGGATATTTACTAATCATGAGGTAAAGTTGACGAGAGTGCAGATTAGAACATGAAAATGGCAGTGTTGCAACCCAATGTCCAATTCAGTTTCTTTAAATACTGTACTTCATTGAGGGCTCAGGATCAATGAGCTTCTCTGTTAACCTAATTGTACTAATTTAATTAAACAAAAAAACCTCTGAAAATATTACTTACTTCTCATAATGACATTTCCTCATGCTATCCAATTAATTTATTTTGATTAACATCATCTTACTATTGCCAGGTCCATCAAACTCTGTTTTCTGAACTCTATATATGCCCAGTCCTGATACTGTTCCTCTCTATGTTCTCGAGATCCATAACTCTGCATTTACTCTGTCTCCTCCCTGTTCACCTCCTTATCCTTAAGATGTATGTATATTCACTAATCCCCTTTAAACTTCTAAGCACCATCCTATTGCACTTGCAGCAATACTTCGCTTGCAGTCACCAATAGTCAATTCGCAACTGGCTTTGAGAATTCTAGCTGAATAAATAAGCACCGGTATGCGTTATGATATAGATGTCCTACTGGTGATCACATTGACTGACATATGCATCTGCAATTCTGTCCTTAAATAATCTTGAGAACCATCTGTCCTTGTCCTGGACTTCCCGAAAACCTCTGATGAGATTTGGCACAGAACTAGTCCAAACAGATTAAGAGATAACAAGGTGTAGAGCTGGATGAACACAGCAGGCCAAGCAGCATCAGAGGAGCAGGAAGGCTGACGTTTCGGGCCTGGACCCTTCTTCAGAAATGCATTTCTGGAAGGGACTGTCTTATGGGAAGAACAATGTTCCCTCTAAGATGTATGGTTGCACATGTGTGCAGCTGCTGAATGGTTCCACACACCGCGATTGGTGACGGCATACTGAAGACAGCATTCACTTTTGTTCCGGAAGTTGCTGACATGCATGTGTCTCACAGGCCCATGTGACTAGAATAAAAATAAGAGAGAACTCTGAAAGAATAGATTTGACCTGTACTTATTGGAGTTTAGAAGAATGAAGGGTGACCTTATTGGAACATAGCAGATTCTGGGAAGACTCGACAGATTTTGAGAGATTGTTTGCCCTTCTGGAGAGTCTAGGACTGCAGGGCATAGTCTCATAAAAAGGGGTTGCACATTTACGACAGCGATGAGGAGGACTTTCTTCTCTTGGAGGTGGTGAATCCGTGGAATTCTTTACTGCAGAGGGCTGTTAGGCTAGATCATTAAGTATATTCAAGGCCAAACTAGACAGATCAGTTAGGGAATCAAGAGTTTTAGGGAAAAGGCACAAAAGTGAAGTTGAGGATTATCAGATCTGCCAGTGAATGGACTACTCCTGCTGCCTTGTTTTATATTTATCTCACGTTTTATGCACATGGTATACATTATAAGTGCTCAAATCTAATTTTGATCATGCTAAAGATGTGGAAAAAGGTAAAGATTTGAGAATTCAAGGTTGAAAAGTTTACATTTTACTTCTAATAATGTTTTCTATTGTTTCAGAAGATCTCGTGTCAGTGGTCCTCGAAAACAGAAGGAATTACCCACAGAACCTCCTTTCACAGCCTATATAGGAAATTTACCTTTTAATACTGTGCAGGGAGACATTGATGCCATCTTTAAGGAGCTAAACGTAAGGAGTGTTCGACTAGTCAGAGACAAAGAAACAGACAAGTTCAAAGGTATAGTACAAAACAAGTTTTGGCTTTTATTTTTATGTGAACTTGTTTCATAGACTTGTGATTTAGCTATCCCCTTTTAAAGATGCATAGTCTTCAACTTGCACTTGTTTTATAACTTATAGCCTACGCAGATAACTTACAATCAATCTTGATGGACATTACAAGCATTTTTTAATTCTCTTAGTCCACAAAATAAAAAGCTTTGATTGCAATTTTTTGCAATTGAAAGCAAAATCATTACATTTTCAATGTTGGTGAAGTCCCTGGTTCTAAAAATCAAATAATTGTTATACTATTAAAATGTTATTATTGCCCCAATTTTGCTGCTACACTACCATAATCAGATTCAAGTATAGTGATTTGAAGTTCATCTCTCTGCTACTTTAGAGCACACTTTAATCCATTTACTTAAACTTCTAGTTAAATATTGCAAGCGTTTTTACACTTCTTTTCCACGAGCTTCTAGGAGAATTATTTTTCTGTCTCTGCTTTGGTTATGATATAAGTTCTGATAGCACACATTTGCAGTCAGTATTCATGTACTAAAAAACAAAAACAGAAGTTGCTGGAAAAGCTCAGCCAGTCTGGCAGCAT